ATTTTGCAAAAGGTAAAGCATGGATCTGAAGATAATGCAGAAAAATGCTCAGAGGATAAGGATAACTTGCCAAAAAGAAAACGCTCTCGGTTAATTAATAGTGTTTTTAGTGATGACGAAGAAAACATTGTTTAATTTATATTAATATGTATCACTTAAAAAAATTTTAATAAAGATATATATCTTAATTATGAAAATATACTAGCATGTTTTTTAATTTTTGGAACCTAACCCTCCTTTTCGTATTAGTTCTTTGTTTCGCATAACACGGATTCGCATAACACGGCAATTTTTTGGAACATAACTACCGTGTTATACGGGGGTTACCTGTACCTGTTTTATCATATTAAATATTTTGTTTGGTGTTAAACACTTTATATTTTGCAGTTTCTAGAAACATGCCATCGGAACCACCACCTTACGTGCCCCCTTCGGGTCCCTATTATTCTCCTCCTCCTCCGGCATATATGGCACCGCCTCAAGGCTACTACGGATTCGTACCCCCGACCAACGTTTTCCCCAACGTTCCACCAGGTAATTTATTTTGCATATTTTATGTCGTAATAATAAATTTTTCAAATCTACTTGTAGTTTCTATAGAATAAAATCTAAAATGTTAGATAAGTAAGGGTTGATGGTAATGGTTGTTAAAACTTAGATGAGTAACAGATTTTTCTGCAGTGCCAGAAGAATTACCAAAATATAGTAATTTTTCTCGAGTATATAGATTCATTGTAAATTTCTTTCTTTGCAAATGTTTTCATTTGCAAAGAAGACTCCATTTACAAAAATGGGCTCGTTCGAATTGGATTATTTATTTCACACCATCCTTTATTTAAATTATATGATCCCAAGGTAGTTTTAAGTGATATTTAAAACTTCCTTTTGGAGTTTTTCTTGTAAGAATGTGTTCTAGTGCAGTGGCAATTTTGTTTACTTGTTTTAAAATGAAAACAATGTATTTTCTTTTCTGTTGCTCTCTCCTTATTAATGTTCATATTTTGAAACAATGGAAGAGAAATTTTCCATACATATGCATTTTAATGCACTCGTCAAGGCCATATCTTGTTTGCAAAATGTGTTTGGAAAGAAAGGTACATATATTTATTACATTTGAGAAGAGAATAACAAATATTACATATTGATCAAAGAATTTGGAGCAAGATTTCAATATTTTATGTAAATTTTAAACTACTTTTTACTCAAAACTTTTGTATTCAAGTAATTTATTTTTTAAAATACACAGGTAAAGTATAAAAGTGTCAATAAATATTATATTGGGAATAACAACACAAAGAACTGAGGTATAAGAAGCATGGAAGAATAGAACTTCCTTCCCCTTTTCCTGAAGACCAAAAGAGAATAGAGGGTATAAATTTTGTTAAGTTGTTGGTATAAATACAAAAGTATAAATGGTTTAGTGTTTTTTCCCCTCTGTTTCATTCTCTCAAAATACAAACTGGGCTTTACAATTGTCAATTTACTAATAGTTCATCAAAATTAACTTAAAAATTGACACAGGATTTACTATGTTACTAATATATTTGTTAAACAAAATAAGTTCTCTAATATAGTAGAGCGTCGTTTATCCAAAAGAATTCCAGTGGGCAAATTTAAATTTTTGCTAGTGCTGTGGCGCTGCAATCTTTGGCTATATCTTGGGCTACTCCAATATTTTTTTTTGTTGGTGTGTGTTTTAGCTGGCAGCACTGGCACTTTTGTGTGGTGTTTTTCTGAGGAGTGTGTGTCGTGCCAAATCAAACGTTTTTAATACTAGATTAACTTCTAAAGTATAATTTTTTATTGTTTTTATATTTTTCAACATATTTATTTTGTTTGTAAAAAATAAAGAAATAATTTTTAACAATACAATAGCCACGATTATTATTTTAAAAAGTTTACATTAGGCTTAACATCGACGAAAATTCAATGCGAAGCGATACGCAATGGAGAAAAATTTCAACATGGAATAGGTTAATATATTTTTTCGTACATAATTGATTTTCCGAACAACCCCAGTCCCCAATTGATTCGGATAAATGACGCTCTACTGTAACGATAAAAAAAATGTATAGTTAATTCACAAAAACATTTCAAACAATGACAAATTGATGTCATGTTAAAATGTCAGAATTTTCTACTTTAAATTCTCAAACAGATTCATTAATCATAATTGGAAACTTCTAATTTATAATATTTCAAGGTAATATCCATTGGTAGTAATCACATCCAAACATCTAGTTGGAAGATGGAATGGAATTAAGCCGCCATCTCGTGCTATAGTTAATAATTGGAAACGAATTTTAATTACAATTGTAATTAACGATTTTTAATTAATTTCAGAAAATACAGTTTACATGACCGACATGCCTCCTCCTTATCCGGGACTCAACACCGCCGGAGCCACGGGATATTCCGGAAATCCGCCACCCGCCGGATTTGTCGCCGCAGGTTCGTATTGTTTCCGAACATCTCGATCCTTTCTCGTTTGGGTCCTTTGCACCCACGTACAATTTATTCGTATTTGTTTTTAACTCGTTTTCTGATTTCACAAACTTGACTAAAACACCATCCTCTTTAACTCTTAGTGACTAGTTGGTCACCGTTGTATCAAACACAAACAATAATCAAAAGTTTAGCTTTGGTTAGAGACGGTCGAGGCATCGTCCCGCCACCCCGTGGAAATCAGATTCAAATCCATGCCGGAGCTTCTAAATTTTAAAATGGTGTGGGCCAGACATATTGGTAAACATCCGGCCAAATTCCTTTGGAAGCCTGGCCAATGATGGATTTACAAATAAAACTCTCAGTTTTGACAGCAGAAAGAAAAACAATAGAGTACAGGGTTGAGTTCTGTAGATATATCTTATTTGTATTCAGTAAGTTAGCAGAAAAATGTAAATGATTATGCAAAAGTGCATTTTCTTTCATATTATATCATTATTACTGTTTGATTACCCTATAGAAAAATTCATTCGTGTTGTTTATCAAGAAAAATGAATTTATTGCTCAAAATTAAAGAAAGTGCTTAAGGGTTACGTAATCTAGTAATTAGTTTTGTGTGTTGAAACTGAAAATTAGGTAATATCTAAGGAGAATTCAGAATTATTGAAAGGAATGGCATTCTCCTACATAAATGATTTATGAGAATAAAAATTTGAAGCACAGGATGGAATGAATGTTTGACAAGTAAACTTGATTTTCCTTTTCTTAGTGAAAGGAACCACAATAAATCACAAGACAACCTTAATAATTTGGTGTTTTTTATCCAATGGTTTTGTAAATTAATAGAAAAATTACTAAAGAGTTGCAATTCTACAGTAAAGATAGTGCATTCAATAAAGATGATAGCACCCAACATTGTATGAATAATATGAAAAACACCATTCTAGAACTTTAGAATTTTTTTCTCGTGCAAAATTGAACCTATAATTAAATTTCTGCAGTGGAAAAAAATCACACATTTAAAGTCGTGTTTGTAAACATTCTCTCACTACATTACTTGCCACTTAACCTAATTCTTTTTGTCTATATTTTTTGTGAATTAAATAAAGCAGTATTATTGTTCCTTAAAATAGTAGCAGGTTACAACAATAGTTATTTAAATTAATAATTTTCATTTACACAAGAAAAGCAATTAATATTGCCTTAATTTGCATTTAAAAGTGACACAATAGTAGGCCTTAGAAATAGTGGGACGTCGGGTAGATTTCTAAAGTTAAAATAATTTGAACTAAATATGGACATTTCTGATTAAAAGAAAATTTCATTTTCAATGAAATAACCCGGTGTTATGCAAATATAATTTTGCTTACGAATATACCGTATTTACTTGCTTATAAGACGATCTCGCATATAGGACGAGGTGTGACTTTAAAGATCAAAATAAAGAAAATTAGATTTATTAATACAATTCAAATCTTATTTCATTTAATCACAAATAAGACATTAAAATGTCAGTGCATTTACATGCATTTGAACTTTAAGGAAAAATCTTGTAAAATCAACAACATAATTTCTTTGTGTAAATCTGGACAATCGGATACCTTTTATCCAATTATTAACAGTCGAATCCACTCTCTGTCAATTACACTTATGAGTTTCTCCACATTCTGATTTTCGAATAATCATCTGTTTTCAAGTGGGAATGGACTAAAACTTATATCGGGCTTCCGTATGATTTTGGAATTCAATTCAAAAGCTTTGCTTTTCCTATTGTGCTATTCATCTTTACTCCTGACAATACACAAGAAGGATTCAAACGACCCAGATAAAATACATTTGTTTTTAAACACCAGAGAATGAGCATCCGGTAAAAAATATGAATACATGATTCACAAAAATTATTGCAAAAATGCAAAGAATCCTTTGCACGCATGTATAGGACGACCTAGGTTTTTGAAGCAGTGAAAAATGAATAAAAACCTTGTCTTATATGCGAGTAAATACAGTATATTTTTACTATGTTATATACACGTTTATACAAGTTTTTTTATTATTCTTTGGGCTGCTTTTGAAAATATTTATTTAATAACCTTCAAAAATTTTTGTGGCAAACCAGCTGAAAATCACCATTCTAGAAGCTGTGTTGTTATCTGATTGATCTCACTTATTTCTTTCGTAAAGACGGTTGTACACTAACAGTTAAGATTCTAAATAAATTAAAAAATTATTTTCTTTTGAATAATTAGCCTGCTAGTGTTCATTAATAATAACACTCAAGTTAAATTTTTTATTTTTAAATATATTTTTTAAATTTATATATTTAAGTGGATATCTATGAAACCAAANAAAAATTCAACGCGAAGTAAACCGCAATGAAGAAAAATTTTAACATGGGATAAATTAATATATTTTTTCATACATAATCGGTTATCCGAAATATTGATTTTCCAAACAACCCCAGTCCCCAATTGATTCGGATAATTGATGCTCTACTGTATTTTGATATTTATTATGTATTGGCTCTCTATAATACATAATATACCTTTCACTATGGTGTTACAAATATTTCATTTTGAGATTTTAGCATTCCATCAGATTCCATTCAGAATTAAGTTGCCTTTTTTTATTTTTTCCTGTATCCTGTTGCTCAGTTATCTCTCCCATATTGGCTTAATTCCAGTCCTAAATATTTGTAATAGTCACTTATTGTAAGTTTAAATTTTCTATTTTTATACTCCTATATTTAAGGGGCAGTCAAATGAAAACAAGACAGATGGGAAAAAAGTAAGTAAACTGTTTATTATTTCAAAAGTAATCACCATAACTGTTAATATATTTATCCCACTGTGAGAAAAGATGGTCAATGCCTTCATGGAATAATGTTTGCGGTTGCCTACAGAACCATGATTGTACCCAGGCGTGCTTCTCTTTGTCCTAAGCAAATCGACGGCCACGAATATCTTTCTTCAGGGCTCTAAAAATATGAAAATTGATGGGGAGAGATCAGGACTGTATGGAGAATGTGTAAGGGCTTCCCAGCAAAACTACTGCAGTATAGTCAAAACAACCTTGGCAACATGTGGACGGGCATTATCCTGCAATGGAATGATGTCGTCCGTCAACATTCCTGGGCATTTGGACTTGATGACATGCTTCAAGTTTCGCTGGGAAGCCTTTACATGCCCTCCAAACAGTCCAGATTTCTCCCCATGCGATTTCCATATTTTTGGAGCCCCGAAGAAAGACATTCGGGGCCGTTGATTTGCTTAGATCGAATAGATGCACACCTGGGTACAATCATGGTTCCGTAGGCAACTGCAAACATTATTCCATGAAGGCATTGATAATCTTTTTTCACAGTGGAATAAATGTATTAACAGTTATGGCGATTACTTTGAAATAATAAACAGTTTACTTACTTTTTTCCCCATTTGTCTCGTTTTAATTTGACTGCCCCTTACAGTTCCCTCATACAAATAGTTTGTTTTCCATCTTCATAATGTACACACACATTAAAGTGTGCTCAAAAGAGTTTATACAGAAGTTAATTGGCCACATACACAAAATCTCTGAAGTCTTTGTGGATAATTTATGATTCTGTTGTCTTCACTATCCTGCTTATTAGTTTCTTTTCAAAATAACTGAAGAATGTTTTCTGGCTTACCTTAAAGCGTAGTTTGTATCTGTTGGAGTGGCAATACAGTATTTGAGAATATTAGACTGCAAACTAGTTGATATGACAGACCAGGAACATTATCATGTTTTTTAGAGACAGTACCATACTTTGTTTTTATACAAATTTATGTATTTGAGTACCTGAATAACAATATTTTTCAAATCCTTTTTCCCCCTACAAACTTTCTATTGATTTTCATTTTGAGTAGTATTGTGCTGGGTGATGTTCAATAGCTATTGTTTATCCTTGTGTGGAAGAATATGTTTGCTCCTTCATATTTACTAGGGTTTCTCAAACGGGATCCTGGTTGTTTTTTTAACCCGGGAAATTTTTCTTATCCCGGGAAATCCCGCAAATTTCTTAAAAATTCACTTTTTTTCTTATTTTGTGTTAAGGTTGAGGAATTTTGCAAATAGAAAGCATAATTAACTCATTCACTGTCAGAATACATTTGTATTTATTAATTTTAAACCTACCTATTAGTTTTTTTTTAATTTTTGCTCGTTATAGCATGTCACAAATGGTCAATAATCAATATATAGCTTATTTGTGGCAGGACTATAAAAATTCTTTACTTGTCGGAACCTGTAATATCTGGAATAATTGTGCTTACGCTGTCTTGAGTTTTAACCATGCCCAGTAGCTTCAATAAATGCCTGACGCCAGATTGTGCAAATTGGGCAAGGATACAAACGAGTACAAAGTCTGCAAGTATGAAGTTTTTCTTCATAAACCTGATTATTAAAGCCAAATGAATTGCCGAATTATTGAGCTCTAAGCTTGATGTTGCTATTAAAGCAGCCAAGGTAGACAAATCAAGAATATTAGAGAGCGAAAGAAGTACTACAATCTCGAAAACGAACTCGAAATCTTCCAGGCTACGGGTGAAAAAACATACAATATCTGTCTTCTCTTAAATGCATTAAACACTATTCCAATCACATCAATTGAATCGGAAAGGGCATTCTCGGTGGCAAGACTTTTCATTACTAAAATAAGAATTAGAGTGAGTTATCGGAGTATTGACCATCTTTGCTTTTTAAAATCTTATAAAAGTTTGCAATATTTTGTATTATATTTTATTTAAAAAACGAAAATTACCTTCTAAATTAGAAGTTCATTTTTTTTAATTTTTAACTCAACTCAAAACATTTTTTTTGTTGTTGTTGTATGCAGTTTCCAGCAAACTTTAATTAATTTTTTTCTATTTGTGAAAATTTCTACGTTATTCAAAGGTAATTTTTATTATAGGCCTATAGACCTTACACAGCATTATTAATATGATTTTGGAGGTTACAGAACTTTAAAATTACTTTAAAAAAATGGAAAATAATTATATCATTTGATTTCAAGATATTTTGTATACCTTAAAAATAATTAAATCTATCCCGGGATTTCCCGGGATACCAGGAAACAGTTCACTTTTATCCCGGGATCCCGGGACAAGCAAAAGACCGGGAAATGAGAAACCCTAATATTTACCATAATATAAATTGTTTGTGTCTTATATAAAGTTTAATTTGTAGTCGACCGTGACATCCTTAGATACAATGGACAATTAAAATTATTGGACAGTCGCTTTCCCTATCTATTCACTTTATGAGGGCCAACATTATGAGTAAATAAAATAAGAGACTAATACAATTACAAAAATACAATTGTAAGCACATAATTCTGACAAAGTTAAAGGGAAAAAGCAATAGATTGCTTTTGGGTTATTGTCATCATAAAATCATTTAAATAAGGTAGAACCCCAAAGTAACATGGTCCGATGCTACCTTGAATAAACGAAAACTGGGAACAAATGGACAGCCATGACAGTTTTGGATTAAAAATTGCCAATATAAAAAAATTTATATGGTAGTGCTTTCGAACCTCCTCCTGTACCTTAGTTAATTTAATCGTATATATGAACATAAATTTCTAAATGATTTATTATACAGCAATATATGTACACATTTTTATTCTTAAAACTATTTTATTATATTTGCTGCATTTTAATATAATCCGTTTGTCTTGCATTGAAGTTAAATAAAAGGTAACAGAAACAAATCATTTTGTAATGCATGTTATTGTTTTAAACTTTCTTTTATGGGTTACGGTATAGGAAAAGTAGTATATTTGCTTACAGATTTGTCTCTGTTAATTGGGGTTATCAATATATAAAAATCCAATTAGATGTGATTTTGTATATACAGGTAACCCCCATATAACACGGCACTTCTATAGCACGGATTCGCTCTAACATGGTTCGAGAATTGGTACCATCCCCCGTATAACACGGTACTTGTATAGCACGGATTCACTCTGACACGGTTCGAGAATTGGGTAAAACCCTCGTACAACAGGAAATGTAATAAATTTTTACGTACTTAACTAATAATAGTTCACGAAAATTATTATTTTCGTGAACTATTAGTACTTAAGTATGTAAATTTTCTCTTCTCGCCTTCTGTCGATACACGTGGTCCTTCTCGAAACTTGTTTCAATGTTGCCAGATCGCGACGCTTCTGCTTCTGATGTTGCCGAATGTTTTTCCCTTATTCCATACTTGCTTTATTCTTCATAAGTGCTTAGCACCATATAAGGAAATTTATAAAGACCTTTTAACTAGAAGCAAGCAATCTAAAATTACATACATTTTGCAAAAGGTAAAGCATGGATCTGAAGATAATGCAGAAAAATGCTCAGAGGATAAGGATAACTTGCCAAAAAGAAAACGCTCTCGGTTAATTAATAGTGTTTTTAGTGATGACGAAGAAAACATTGTTTAATTTATATTAATATGTATCACTTAAAAAAATTTTAATAAAGATATATATCTTAATTATGAAAATATACTAGCATGTTTTTTAATTTTTGGAACCTAACCCTCCTTTTCGTATTAGTTCTTTGTTTCGCATAACACGGATTCGCATAACACGGCAATTTTTTGGAACATAACTACCGTGTTATACGGGGGTTACCTGTACCTGTTTTATCATATTAAATATTTTGTTTGGTGTTAAACACTTTATATTTTGCAGTTTCTAGAAACATGCCATCGGAACCACCACCTTACGTGCCCCCTTCGGGTCCCTATTATTCTCCTCCTCCTCCGGCATATATGGCACCGCCTCAAGGCTACTACGGATTCGTACCCCCGACCAACATTTTCCCCAACGTTCCACCAGGTAATTTATTTTGCATATTTTATGTCGTAATAATAAATTTTTCAAATCTACTTGTAGTTTCTATAGAATAAAATCTAAAATGTTAGATAAGTAAGGGTTGATGGTAATGGTTGTTAAAACTTAGATGAGTAACAGATTTTTCTGCAGTGCCAGAAGAATTACCAAAATATAGTAATTTTTCTCGAGTATATAGATTCATTGTAAATTTCTTTCTTTGCAAATGTTTTCATTTGCAAAGAAGACTCCATTTACAAAAATGGGCTCGTTCGAATTGGATTATTTATTTCACACCATCCTTTATTTAAATTATATGATCCCAAGGTAGTTTTAAGTGATATTTAAAACTTCCTTTTGGAGTTTTTCTTGTAAGAATGTGTTCTAGTGCAGTGGCAATTTTGTTTACTTGTTTTAAAATGAAAACAATGTATTTTCTTTTCTGCTGCTCTCTCCTTATTAATGTTCATATTTTGAAACAATGGAAGAGAAATTTTCCATACATATGCATTTTAATGCACTCGTCAAGGCCATATCTTGTTTGCAAAATGTGTTTGGAAAGAAAGGTACATATATTTATTACATTTGAGAAGAGAATAACAAATATTACATATTGATCAAAGAATTTGGAGCAAGATTTCAATATTTTATGTAAATTTTAAACTACTTTTTACTCAAAACTTTTGTATTCAAGTAATTTATTTTTTAAAATACACAGGTAAAGTATAAAAGTGTCAATAAATATTATATTGGGAATAACAACACAAAGAACTGAGGTATAAGAAGCATGGAAGAATAGAACTTCCTTCCCCTTTTCCTGAAGACCAAAAGAGAATAGAGGGTATAAATTTTGTTAAGTTGTTGGTATAAATACAAAAGTATAAATGGTTTAGTGTTTTTTCCCCTCTGTTTCATTCTCTCAAAATACAAACTGGGCTTTACAATTGTCAATTTACTAATAGTTCATCAAAATTAACTTAAAAATTGACACAGGATTTACTATGTTACTAATATATTTGTTAAACAAAATAAGTTCTCTAATATAGTAGAGCGTCGTTTATCCAAAAGAATTCCAGTGGGCAAATTTAAATTTTTGCTAGTGCTGTGGCGCTGCAATCTTTGGCTATATCTTGGGCTACTCCAATATTTTTTTTTGTTGGTGTGTGTTTTAGCTGGCAGCACTGGCACTTTTGTGTGGTGTTTTTCTGAGGAGTGTGTGTCGTGCCAAATCAAACGTTTTTAATACTAGATTAACTTCTAAAGTATAATTTTTTATTGTTTTTATATTTTTCAACATATTTATTTTGTTTGTAAAAAATAAAGAAATAATTTTTAACAATACAATAGCCACGATTATTATTTTAAAAAGTTTACATTAGGCTTAACATCGACGAAAATTCAATGCGAAGCGATACGCAATGGAGAAAAATTTCAACATGGAATAGGTTAATATATTTTTTCGTACATAATTGATTTTCCGAACAACCCCAGTCCCCAATTGATTCGGATAAATGACGCTCTACTGTAACGATAAAAAAAATGTATAGTTAATTCACAAAAACATTTCAAACAATGACAAATTGATGTCATGTTAAAATGTCAGAATTTTCTACTTTAAATTCTCAAACAGATTCATTAATCATAATTGGAAACTTCTAATTTATAATATTTCAAGGTAATATCCATTGGTAGTAATCACATCCAAACATCTAGTTGGAAGATGGAATGGAATTAAGCCGCCATCTCGTGCTATAGTTAATAATTGGAAACGAATTTTAATTACAATTGTAATTAACGATTTTTAATTAATTTCAGAAAATACAGTTTACATGACCGACATGCCTCCTCCTTATCCGGGACTCAACACCGCCGGAGCCACGGGATATTCCGGAAATCCGCCACCCGCCGGATTTGTCGCCGCAGGTTCGTATTGTTTCCGAACATCTCGATCCTTTCTCGTTTGGGTCCTTTGCACCCACGTACAATTTATTCGTATTTGTTTTTAACTCGTTTTCTGATTTCACAAACTTGACTAAAACACCATCCTCTTTAACTCTTAGTGACTAGTTGGTCACCGTTGTATCAAACACAAACAATAATCAAAAGTTTAGCTTTGGTTAGAGACGGTCGAGGCATCGTCCCGCCACCCCGTGGAAATCAGATTCAAATCCATGCCGGAGCTTCTAAATTTTAAAATGGTGTGGGCCAGACATATTGGTAAACATCCGGCCAAATTCCTTTGGAAGCCTGGCCAATGATGGATTTACAAATAAAACTCTCAGTTTTGACAGCAGAAAGAAAAACAATAGAGTACAGGGTTGAGTTCTGTAGATATATCTTATTTGTATTCAGTAAGTTAGCAGAAAAATGTAAATGATTATGCAAAAGTGCATTTTCTTTCATATTATATCATTATTACTGTTTGATTACCCTATAGAAAAATTCATTCGTGTTGTTTATCAAGAAAAATGAATTTATTGCTCAAAATTAAAGAAAGTGCTTAAGGGTTACGTAATCTAGTAATTAGTTTTGTGTGTTGAAACTGAAAATTAGGTAATATCTAAGGAGAATTCAGAATTATTGAAAGGAATGGCATTCTCCTACATAAATGATTTATGAGAATAAAAATTTGAAGCACAGGATGGAATGAATGTTTGACAAGTAAACTTGATTTTCCTTTTCTTAGTGAAAGGAACCACAATAAATCACAAGACAACCTTAATAATTTGGTGTTTTTTATCCAATGGTTTTGTAAATTAATAGAAAAATTACTAAAGAGTTGCAATTCTACAGTAAAGATAGTGCATTCAATAAAGATGATAGCACCCAACATTGTATGAATAATATGAAAAACACCATTCTAGAACTTTAGAATTTTTTTCTCGTGCAAAATTGAACCTATAATTAAATTTCTGCAGTGGAAAAAAATCACACATTTAAAGTCGTGTTTGTAAACATTCTCTCACTACATTACTTGCCACTTAACCTAATTCTTTTTGTCTATATTTTTTGTGAATTAAATAAAGCAGTATTATTGTTCCTTAAAATAGTAGCAGGTTACAACAATAGTTATTTAAATTAATAATTTTCATTTACACAAGAAAAGCAATTAATATTGCCTTAATTTGCATTTAAAAGTGACACAATAGTAGGCCTTAGAAATAGTGGGACGTCGGGTAGATTTCTAAAGTTAAAATAATTTGAACTAAATATGGACATTTCTGATTAAAAGAAAATTTCATTTTCAATGAAATAACCCGGTGTTATGCAAATATAATTTTGCTTACGAATATACCGTATTTACTTGCTTATAAGACGATCTCGCATATAGGACGAGGTGTGACTTTAAAGATCAAAATAAAGAAAATTAGATTTATTAATACAATTCAAATCTTATTTCATTTAATCACAAATAAGACATTAAAATGTCAGTGCATTTACATGCATTTGAACTTTAAGGAAAAATCTTGTAAAATCAACAACATAATTTCTTTGTGTAAATCTGGACAATCGGATACCTTTTATCCAATTATTAACAGTCGAATCCACTCTCTGTCAATTACACTTATGAGTTTCTCCACATTCTGATTTTCGAATAATCATCTGTTTTCAAGTGGGAATGGACTAAAACTTATATCGGGCTTCCGTATGATTTTGGAATTCAATTCAAAAGCTTTGCTTTTCCTATTGTGCTATTCATCTTTACTCCTGACAATACACAAGAAGGATTCAAACGACCCAGATAAAATACATTTGTTTTTAAACACCAGAGAATGAGCATCCGGTAAAAAATATGAATACATGATTCACAAAAATTATTGCAAAAATGCAAAGAATCCTTTGCACGCATGTATAGGACGACCTAGGTTTTTGAAGCAGTGAAAAATGAATAAAAACCTTGTCTTATATGCGAGTAAATACAGTATATTTTTACTATGTTATATACACGTTTATACAAGTTTTTTTATTATTCTTTGGGCTGCTTTTGAAAATATTTATTTAATAACCTTCAAAAATTTTTGTGGCAAACCAGCTGAAAATCACCATTCTAGAAGCTGTGTTGTTATCTGATTGATCTCACTTATTTCTTTCGTAAAGACGGTTGTACACTAACAGTTAAGATTCTAAATAAATTAAAAAATTATTTTCTTTTGAATAATTAGCCTGCTAGTGTTCATTAATAATAACACTCAAGTTGAATTTTTTATTTTTAAATATATTTTTTAAATTTATATATTTAAGTGGATATCTATGAAACCAAATAATCTAACTACCAATATTTGTCATCGTTGCTATGGCAACCAAAAATTATTGTCTGCTTGTATAGTAAGGCGTTGTTACTTTGAAAATGGCAAATGGGTAACGAGATTTTAAAAGGGCAAAGTAAGTGTTGTAAGAGAAGCTGGCAAGTCAATAAGATGGATTGCTAAAAAAAAAAAACAGGAAGATCAATTTGCACAAAGCAGAATTATTTGAAGTTAGGCAAAGAATATATATATATATATACACTCGCGCACATACACCATTCTTAAATACATTTTAATCAATCTCATAGAATTTAAAAAGAATATAGAGTTTATAAGAGTCCCAGAAGGCTACAAGAACTTACTTCTCGTAAGAAACAAGTAATTTTAAGTGAAATTATGAATGGAATGAGCTCTTTCAGAAATTTTGCTGCAAAACCCGAATATAGAGTAAGCTCGGGGACAGCGTGTAACATAGTTTGGCCTGCAAGGCATCTCAAACATGCCAAAAGGAAGTCTGAACCAAAGTTTACAGACTGGCCATGGCCATAAATCGCTCGACCCGGAAGGGAAGGCGGAGGAGTGTAAACGTGGTCCGACGAGAAAAAGTTTAATTTAGACGTGCCCGACGGTTGCCAATACTATTAGCACGATTTAAGAAAGGCAAGGAAAATCTATTCCAAATGACAAATGAGTGGAGTTAGACTTGGGCTGTCTTTGGAGAGTGAGGGAAAACAAATATTACCCTTCTTGAAGGAAGGCAAAATTACATCCAGCAGCTAGAAATGCATCTACTTTGCTTTGGAGAAAGACTAAGGGGTGGATCCGGCAAGATAATGCTCCCACCTATACCATCGACATTACTCTAAAGGTTTCTGGCCAACGAGGTTTGAGTCGCGTTGCCGGATTCGAACCACACGGAGAATGTCCGGAGACTTACGGAAAGCAATACGACACTACCACAGACCTACAGACTGCAGTCGTCGAGAAATGGGAGGAAATTCTTCAAAAGTCAACCGAGTCGACAACCGACAGTTTTCTAAGTCGTCATAAACAAAGGAGGGCTTTCATTAATAACCTCGGAAATATCATTTTCTGTGTATTATTCATAAGTGTTCTTATCATTATTGAATGCTAAAAAATAATTTTCTTACAATTATAAATAAATTAGCAGGCTAATTATTCATAACTGTTATTTGTCATAAAGATGCATTTGTAAATTTAAGTGACAACAATCAGACAGCAATAGCTATGAATAACTTGAAAGTTCTAAGAAAGTGTTGGGTATCCTTATCTTTATTGAATGCACTGTATCTTTCAAACCAGTGAAACATTTTATTAAAAGTGTCATTTTTTGTATTTGTGAATGGGAGTTTGCACCAGAAACATGCACATTGTCGGCCTAGTTTGTAAACCTCGTATTTCCGGCATGCTCGATTTTAGAGTGTTACCACATTTTGTGACAGTGAATTTTTAACTCTCTCAGAAACCAGTTTTTGATGCCTCACATAAAATAGGTATTTTGGCAGTATTACGTTAGTGTAAATTCATATGGAAACAAAAAATTTTTATTTTATCAGTGTCTGGCCAGAAATTTTATGTAACATCTCCTTAATTCACAGTCTTTTTAAAAACATTGATGTAATTGTGTTGTTTTTATTCTGACAAAAAAAAATCCAATCAACAAATGTATTTTAGAGGAATTAGCTAAATTTTAATGTAAAGGACTTCTTACTGAGTTGGTATATTTGTACTAAATTGTAATTGCTTATGGATTTTTTTTAGATGATAAAGCAAAAGAAGCTGCTCAACAACAGGCCTATTATAACCCCTACAATCCCAATTATGCATATGTTCCTCAGCCATACCAGACTTCTCCTCCCATGCCTAATGTAAGTACAGTACAATTATGTCTTGTGGCATTTTTAATTCTTCACAAAGATTTTATATTTAATTATAATGGAATTCTGTACATTATCATGCCATCATTCCAAATAATTTATCTAGCATTTTCTTTATTATGGTTTACTCCTCCCCAAAAACTTCTTAACTAATGAGCTGGTGTGGTGTTTGTTAAATACCTAGCAACACAATATAATAATCATCATATAACTTAGTATAGACTTTGATAAAGAAGAAATTAAAAAACACAAATCATTTTTATGTCAAAAAATTATGATCTAGTACTAATTCAGTTAATGTTTTCATCTGCTGTCCAGCTTAATATTTACAATCATTTCTGACACGCGACAGAGCTAGAATGTAGGAATTGTCCGAGAAAAACAGGATATACGTTACCTTGTTCTAACATTTTAAATTTTTTCAGGCACCACCCCCTTCGTATTGGGATGCAACAAAGAAACAACAATGAAGAATTTTTTCTTGTTAATAATCAAATGTTTATTAATAAAAAAAGACATTCCTATTTTTATTGCAATTCTCAAAATTCTATATAATAATGTGTAAATAATTCTAGAATGAATAAAAGATTTAATCATCATGATTTTTATTTATTAATTACAAAAATCTGTCTTAACAAAATTTTTAATACAATCTTATACACACCTGTTGTTTTTTTACCATACAGTATTAAAAAAATGAAAGTAAAATGTACTGATGGCAAGATAGCTATAATTAACCACCACCAATCATTTGTAATGGTACATTAAAAAATGATTAACTATCACAGTCACAAATTAGCCAATTATAAAAATTACAATTTTTCCCAGCACAAGTAAAAGAAAAAAAATTGTAAATTTTTCGGATGATAAAAAAACATGGAACGATATAGTTGTGTAATTAAAGCCAATGAATAAAAATTTCTACAAAAAAAATATAGCAGCACGTGAACGATTAAACCGATTACAAAATAGTATCAATATAATTGTTTGTCGAACGTTCTCTTCCCCTTCCTTTGAGCATAATGACATATTTGTTAAAATAAATTTGTTGGCAGCGAAACGTCCGACTTTCGGCGATTATTAAAAAAAGGCATGAATTTGGTCGTCTCCGGCGGTGCGGGTCCGTCACGCACCCCCGTCCTCGTCTTCGTCTATGTGATTCAGTTCTTCGATGCGGGCGGTCGGGGCCCTCTTAGTCTGAAAAGAGTCGAAAGAGAACGGTGAACCAACGGCCCGGATCTAATTTTAAACACGCATTGTTAATTTGCGGGAAGAAAGTCAATAGTCATTTCTGCAGAATTTAATTTAGAAGCTGTAATTTGGAAATCTTAAATTAGTATTTTACGTATCAGATATTCACGCAGGGAGAGGCCGCGTACGTCGAGACGGACCCTCGGACAATGAAAATTACTAGATTACGTTCAGCAAGACGAAGCATATCAACCAGTAGTGTTAAAAAATTGTTGCTGCAACTAGAAATTGTGCTAAAATAAAAAGTTAGTGTTACAGCTTTAATAAATTAATATCTGTTAGATTGGGAAAAGAGAGAGGAAGGCATAATGCACAGAGGATAGGCACAATTCCATTTATTACATGCACATCAGGTAACATTTAAATTTAATGAAATTGCATTATGCCTTTAATGTTATTAGAGTCGGGCAAAAGCATTTTATTTGTCTTATTTTTCTATGTTGACGGTAAACAGTAATAAGAGACAACTTTGAAGAATGTTTTGCGGATTTCATATATGTTAATTACTTATATAATTTTGAGATTTGCTTTTCCAGCTATTTCGTTTACAACAGTGGTTCCTTTAGGTCAACGAATGCCCCACCCTACTATCGCTCCGGGGGACTGGCACCAAATATTTTTTGTTGGTGGTATGTCGGATCCCTTCCGTCACCACCTACAGGAAAAAAAGGCTTAGTGCCAACAAGACTACAGTAAAAAAAATCCTAAAATTTGTTTTCCTTGAAAACCAAATCTAAAATCCAAATTAAAAATTTAATTGCATATGGTCAAAACAGTAATATTTTCTGATGCTATTTGCATTGAATTCATCCTTCCATGAATAATTTAAGTGATTTTTGACCAAATGTAGGTTTTCAACCACTACATTTGGGTTTGTAGTTGATTTTCCTTGTATGGAGACAGAACAATATTTAATAGAACAACTTTAGTGAAGTTATCAAAATGAAATGTGATCGCTGAGAAGCCCACCTCCAGCATTCCCATTGCCACATTTACACGAGGAGCCACCGAACATTTTTTGTTCGAACAAAGCAGAGTTAGCCGGTCCCGGCCGACATTTTAACGAGCGAGTTGTTTTATCACCTCATTCGTTGTCTAAATAAACAAGACATTGATGTCGTGTTTATTTCAAAGGAGGCTATTCTTCTGGGTGTAAACCTTAATTAAGTTGTATTCTGCAAGAACACTACCTTAACCTATGTTCTATTTATTACTGTTAACATACATATCTCAATAACTTAAACACGCTAATAATTCTCGTCACATTACTATCTATTCAGATAATTCCGCAACCCACTTTGGGAACCACTGGCAACGATAAGCATGAATTTCCCGTAGAGGTCACTATTACAATTTCCCTCCCCTTTTTGAGAATTTACTAGTTGGCAAAATGGACAATTTCCAATTACCTTTGTGACAAATAGTAATAACAAATGCTCATTTTGAAATTTGAAGGCTTTATTTTTACAGCAAAAAGTCTGTTAAGATTGGCTTCATCTCAACATACACTTGCCTAATTAAGGCAACTGAAAATTTTGTTGTTGTAGAATTGTTTTTGGCTTTCTTGAAGCTATTGACTATTTACAAATAGAATGCTATTTCTAAAGATATTGTAGATTTTTTTAAGTGTTTACATCGAATATTCAAATATTAAACTATGTAAAAATCTCCATGCTTTAAGGATTCTAGGAATGTCAACGAATCCTGTCTTAATTATTCTGTGGCAAAAGATAATACAACTTAGAAAATTCCATGTAATGCAAATTAATTGTCTTTTGCAGCTACTCTGCCATTACGCCCATTACCATCAGGCTGGAAGAAACAACCTCCAATCTATTTTATGACACTTCAATTTTTGTATCCACTACCTATTATGCTAAAGAAGTCGACGGATCCTAGCTCTCGGTCACCGAGTAATGGCATTTTTTAAAGAAACGATAAACTTTTATTATGTAGGTTTACGTTTTTGTTCCGACACGCAATTCCATAAAACCAGAAACATTTCCGCGAGAATAAAATTTTTGATTGCCTTAATCCAGCCATGCATTTGTATGTTTAAAATATATGATGATTATTGTCAAATGTTTCACTTTTCTATCAATAAATTTTTTTCACAGAATTAATCAAGTGCATTTGTTTTTAATGGAATTCAAACAAATAATGTCAAAAGGAAAAGCAACAAAAATTGTTTTAGAATGCATTTTCTACCAAATTAGTCATTTCTAGTGAATGCATACTTAACATCAGTATAAAAATACATGATATGGATTGGATTTACTTTTTCCATAAGACTTGGAAATAAAAACCATCCATAGAAAAGTGGAACATTTGAAGATATAATCAAATATCGGTACTGGATCGCATGAAAAATGAGAGCCAAATAAAAATGATAAACTATATTCTACTCAAATACAGTTTTTATTTTATATTTTTGAAGGATAAAAGTTATTACAACAATGATAACTAGAAAATACAGAATTATTTTACGAGACCTCATCATTACTCAAAGTTTTTTGTCACATTGCTTTTAAAGTCTTTCTGCTTTCTATTTTAACTGATTTTCATATAATTATTAAAGTATAACCACAAATAAAATTTGCTAATGCCCTACTCAATTCTTTTGTTAAAATTTTAATTTATATTTCCTACACATCCATGGTAAAAGTTCAGCATAGTTAGCAAAATTTTGAACAACAGAATTATAAACCCTATAATAAATAATTATAATTCTGTTATTCTTCAAAATTATATTCTCTTTTGCTAGCAGACTACCGTAATTACACACTCAAAAGCTGGTAAACTGCTAAACGTGCTGAACTTTTTGTTACGGGTGTGTAGTTCCTATCGTAAGTAAAATTATCAGTTGTCAAAAAAGATATGGATTAGAATTTCTGGGAGGGATCTCTGACCTCATCTGTGGCGGACGATTTCGGAATCATAGTTGACGAAATGATAGCGGTACCGATGCCGGTGATGAAGGGAAGATCGTCCAGTAACTGTCTACCGGGTGCCTGTTGCTCGACTGCCGACGTACGGGCAAAATAATTAAAAAATTTAAATTATTAAAAATGGCATATAGATACACGGTACTTGCTTCTTCCCACACTTGACATTTTATTAACATTAAAAGCTGAAAGAAGAGTTGCTAGATAATGGATTCTAATGATTTAATTTAATTAACTTGGCTAATTATTAATTATATATAATAATAATAATGCAATTATGAAGTATTTTAATAATGAGATGTTATAAATAATTTCTGTAAAATTGAAAAATTAGCCATGTTAATTTTGTACCATCAGAATTTGTATACTAATTCAGAAAAAAAAAAAAAATTATATATACTAAGGAATGCCATTATACAGATTCGCTTTAGAAACGTATTTTCATTCTCAGTAATGTCGTCACAAGTTTATTTTACGTAGTCTTACGAGTCTACTCTAAACCCGAGTTTGTGCAGGAAATTTTCCCAATCGACCAAACATTTGTAAAACTGGTATCATTTGCTTCTTTTTACATATACTACAATATAAAACAATATTAATTAAGCAAAATTTCTATTCTTAATAAAATTTTCCTTAAAGGCAAATAATTTAAACAGATTTGGAGTGATTGAAAATGAATTTGAGCACTAAGAATAAAAATTGGCTCCTAAATTAAGTCTTATGTGATTTTTTCACTTTTGTTGTTTAGACCAATCTACAAATTTAATTAAAATTGTCAAGATTTTTACAATCAAAAACTGTATCCTATAAATAAAACTTTTGCCGACAAAACATTTCTGAGCTGTTTTCTTGCTAAACATTCAATTTGGATTTAAAGATGGGAAATTGGTTTATCTTTCTACCGTGTTAAAAAGTTTCACTATGAACAAAATGCAGCTTAAAATAAAAAATCACCATCACCATAAATGTAATATCAAAAAAATGATTGCATAGAAACAAATTTCAATAAGTTTGCTAAATGAGCCACAAGTTTCTCAATTAAAATTATCAAAAGTATTTTGCAACAACTAAGATTTTATTGTTTTAGCAAATAAAATTTTATCCCTTTTCCCTTCTTACTATATATATATATATATATCAGTAGAAATGCATGATTAGTCAAGGTCAACAATGAGAAGGGATATGAGGTCCCGTATGGAATTCGAAATTATGTGCTAGAGTGTTAACAAACATCCGACAGAACAGTTAAACTCCCACCTTTCAAATGAAAAATTATTATTATTTAATTAAATAACTCATTTCTCCGTGTTGTAGAGACAATTATAAATTCTTGATGTCAAAAAGGTAAACACAAAAGGCTGGATCGAGTTACGAGAAAAGGCTTCAATGTTTGGTAAATACTATCTGATTAGATTGAGGTTGAATATCAATGTCGACTTCTCCCACGGCCCAAAAGGTCTAGAATTGTCAATCAACTGTAATGCAAAATTGGGGAGATAACCCTTTTAAACGTTACGTACAAAAAGTTCTCATTTCACAATACGTCCTGTGCAGTCAACCGGATTAACTTATCTGTTCTATGCTTTCCAAGTGGTTGCTGTTGGAACACACCTCGGCCAACCCCAAGTCCCCACCCGATCCAAGATTCAACCAGACAAAGCGAGCTCCGGGGGCAATCAATTCGCAGACAATTTATCATCGACTTACGAGGAGAGCCTACGGCTTTGGGGTAACAGATTTTGATGATCTTTGTTGTACAGGTAGTACACCATGTGAGTGTACTACCTGTAAAATACTAAAGTGCAATACTCAAATATAATCGAGAAAATCGAACTTAAAGTTTTGTTAGCACTTTATATATAAATTATACGTATTTCTATTCGAGCGTCCTGTGGCAGAGTGGTAACGAGTCTGATTCATAAGCTTGAGTTCTCGGGTTCGATTCTCGCGTATAATTTTTTTTTTAATTCATAAATACTTATAATGTATTTATTTATTTACTCATTCATTTATTTCTTATTATTTATTTATTTTAATTTAATTTCTACTATTCCAAGTCTAATATTTTTATACTTTTGTTGACAATAACGGCGCATTCTTGACACCTATGTGTCAACTTTCCCATCTAATTGTTATCACTAACGGTGACCGATCTAATTCTCACTAGGAGCGTTTTTTCTATCGGAGTTCTTTTTCACTCACTCTTTAACAGTTCGTTTCTAAATTTCGACACGAATAGACGTATTTGTGTAGTAAAACTTATTTTGAAAAATTATTTTATAATCGAAAAATGTCGTCAAGAGAAGCAAGTTCTTCACGTTGTGACGAAAAAACTGTTGATGATACCTTTTAAAAAAGCAGCATTTATTTGTTGTTCTTGGTGTAGACAGAATTTTTGTTTTGAATGTTTTTATCATAAGTATCATTCACGATCATGTACATCTGACAATGATATGTAATTATATAATATTGCTTCAATAAATTATATTCGTTTTTCTTGGTTATATTTGAGTTTTGCACTTTACAAGTTAGTATTTTACATCACTGTATAAAGAGTTATCATCAACAGTTTTTTCGTCACAACGTGAAGAACTTGCTTCTCTTGACGACATTTTTTGATTATAAAATAATTTTTCAAAATAAGTTTTACTACACAAATACGTCTATTCGTGTCGAAATTTAGAAACGAACTGTTAAAAGAGTGAGTGAAAAAGAACTCCGATAAAAAAAACGCTCCTAGTGAGAATTAGATCGGTCACCGTTAGTGATAACAATTAGATGGGAAAGTTGACACATAGGTGTCAAGAATGCGCCGTTATTGTCAACAAAAGTATAAAAATATTAGACTTGGAATAGTAGAAATTAAATTAAAATAAATAAATAATAAGAAATAAATGAATGAGTAAATAAATAAATACATTATAAGTATTTATGAATTAAAAAAAAAATTTATACGCGAGAATCGAACTCGAGAACTCAGTCTTATGAATCAGACTCGTTACCACTCTGCCACAGGACGCTTGAATAGAAACACGTATAATTTATATATAAAGTGCTAAAAAAACTTTAAGTCCGATTTTCTCGATTATATTTGAGTATTGCACTTTAGTATTTTACAGGTAGTACACTCACATGGTGTACTACCTCTACAACAAAGATCATCAAAATCCGTTACCCCAAAGCCGTAGGCTCTCCTTGTTAAACGAGTGACATTTGAACCCTCTCTAGAATTGATTAAGACTATTATTATGAATTGAGTCTGTCCCTAGGAGACAAACAGGCTGAATTTTTGTAAGCATTTCTTAACTCAAACAGTTTTTTCCTTGTAAGCGGTATTCCTAACTGCATTCACATATGATCTTTTGACCTGCTTATTGTCCTGATGTAAATTTTGGCTATTTTTGATTACTTGGTGACCACATAATATTTACAATATTGTATTTTCATTTTTGATAACACAAAGTTATACTGGTAGTTAACATAATTATTTAAGTTTTTCTTCTGTAACTATATGTCCTTTAAAAAAAATACCAAAAATATTAATTGTATAAACTAGAAATATCATTTTGTTTTTATGGATGTAGTAGTAGTAGTATTCAGGAGATAAAATAAATTTGAAGATTTCATTTTTTAAAAAATCAGATAATGAATGGTTTTTATTAACATTAAAAACTGTTTCCAATACCATATTTATCCATCACACAAATTAATTGTATTATCCTCGAAAATGTCCATAACATGTTTCTGCTTAATAGCCATATTTTCTGTACGAAACAAAAACTGGAGAGGGAAGAAAGTACATATTCACCTTCTGCAAAACTAATTATTAATAGAGGATGAGAAAATGTAAAAATTCATTTATGCTCTACCTACAATTTTTTGTAACGACTCTGAATACCAAGACTGGTTGATCAAATCCTAGTTAATGGAGTTTCCTTTACAACTTGTGAAATTATCAGACCATAATGTAGTATTATTTATCATTGCATCATTATATATGCATTAATAATTTATGAGGATAAAAAAAATGCACTAACCAAATGGTAAAGTATTTTTTATACTGCACTCTTAGAACCTATAACCGGTTTGATATAAAAAAACAAAAGAAAAAGATCACCACAAACGTTTTCGTACGACAGAACAGTTAAACTCCCACCTTTCAAATGAAAAATTATTATTATTTAATTAAATAACTCATTTCTCCGTGTTGTAGAGACAATTATAAATTCTTGATGTCAAAAAGGTAAACACAAAAGGCTGGATCGAGTTACGAGAAAAGGCTTCAATGTTTGGTAAATACTATCTGATTAGATTGAGGTTGAATATCAATGTCGACTTCTCCCACGGCCCAAAAGGTCTAGAATTGTCAATCAACTGTAATGCAAAATTGGGGAGATAACCCTTTTAAACGTTACGTACAAAAAGTTCTCATTTCACAATACGTCCTGTGCAGTCAACCGGATTAACTTATCTGTTCTATGCTTTCCAAGTGGTTGCTGTTGGAACACACCTCGGCCAACCCCAAGTCCCCACCCGATCCAAGATTCAACCAGACAAAGCGAGCTCCGGGGGCAATCAATTCGCAGACAATTTATCATCGACTTACGAGGAGAGCCTACGGCTTTGGGGTAACAGATTTTGATGATCTTTGTTGTACAGGTAGTACACCATGTGAGTGTACTACCTGTAAAATACTAAAGTGCAATACTCAAATATAATCGAGAAAATCGAACTTAAAGTTTTTTTAGCACTTTATATATAAATTATACGTGTTTCTATTCAAGCGTCCTGTGGCAGAGTGGTAACGAGTCTGATTCATAAGACTGAGTTCTCGGGTTCGATTCTCGCGTATAATTTTTTTTTTAATTCATAAATACTTATAATGTATTTATTTATTTACTCATTCATTTATTTCTTATTATTTATTTATTTTAATTTAATTTCTACTATTCCAAGTGTAATATTTTTATACTTTTGTTGACAATAACAGCGCATTCTTGACACCTATGCGTCAACTTTCCCATCTAATTGTTATCACTAACGGTGA